TGTCAGCGCCCCTGTACCGCCTCCTCATGCTGCTGCCAGGTCAGAGTGTGTCATGGGCCCCCGTACCGACTCCTCATGCTGCTGCCAGGCCCGTAATCTGTCATGGGCCCCTGTACCGCCTCCTCATGCTGCTGCCAGGTCCAGAGTGTGTCATGGGTCCCTGTACGGCCTCCCATTGCTGCTGCCAGGCCCGTAATCTGCCATGGCCCCCATACCAACTCCTCATGCTGCTGCCAGGCCCGTAATCTGTCATGGGGCCCCTGTACCCAACCCCCCCGCCTCCTCATGCTGCTTCCAGGTCCTGAGTGTGTCATGAGGTCCCCTGTACGGCCTACCCATTCTGCATCTCCCCATCTCCACACCCACTCTGCCATGTGGCCCCTCATCAGGTCTCCTCACACTGCTGGTGGTTTCCATATATGGTTACATATGGGATGCTGTTTGTGCCTCTCCATTCGACGGCACTCATCTGCATTTCATACTGACTGTCAGTATTATTTCTCTTCCCCAGCAGACTCCAAGGGCATTTAAATTAAAGGTACAGTGTTCTGCACTAATATAAAGGCTCTCTGAAGCCTATAAACACCCTTTTATAAGTTAAATTCGCAGCGAATATATTCGACTCGAATCGAAATTTTTCACGAATTCGCCGAATCAGTCGAATCGAATTTTTGAATACTTCGCTCATCTCTAATTACAACTCCCTAGGATCCAAAACAGAACAACTGGATTCACTATCACAACCCTTCACCACCTCTGAAATTGATAAATTAATTCATAATCTCCCTTCTCATAAATCACCGGGAACAGATAGTTATACCAACGAGTATTATTAAACATTCACTCCAACCCTCACCCAATATCTATATAGATTTTTTAATACATTTACAACATCTGAAGCTATTTCAAAAGAAACACTAGAAGCTCTAATTATCACATTACCAAAACCTGGTAAACCTCCCATATCACCAGCTAATTTTAGACCTATATCGCTTCTAAATACTGACACAAAGATCTATGCCAAATTGCTAGCCAACCGACTTCAACCACTAATGCCAAAATGAATTAATCCAGATCAAGTTGGTTTTTTCAATGGGCGTCAAGCACCTGATGGCACACGAAGATTTATAAATCTACCTCAATGGGCAAACCATACACAAACACCCTCTCTGCTTATCTCATTAGATGTGAAGAAGGAATTTGACAGGATCTATTGGCCATACTTGCAATTGGTTCTGGAAAAATTTGTAATATCAGGAACTTTTGGGAAAGCAATTATGGCTTTATACACATGCCCCAGTGCCAGAGTATGGTCATCCGGTACTCTCTCTGAACCATTTAAGATATCTAATGGCACAATAGACAGGGGTGTCTCTTATCACCCGTGATCTTTGCCTTAAGCATATAACTGCTTGCAGAAGCAATCCGTATATAACCTGACATAGGTGGTATCAAAATAGGGCATGTAACACACAAAATAGGATTATACGCTGATGACATTATATTTGCTATGACTGATCCCCTCATATTGATAACAGCATTGCAAAATGTTATTTTGCAATTTAGCTCATTATCCCTATACAAAGTAAATGAGGCCAAATCCTCTATGTTACCTATAGCAATCTCACCTAACCTACATAAACAAATATCAATGATTTCTCCCTTTTCATGGGTAACATCTTCAAAATTACATACCTAGGAATAAAGTTAACGTCTCCTCATTCAAACACAATTAAGATCAACTTTTCAAATATACTCATTAAAATAACAGAACTATGTAAAGAATTCTCCTGCACTACTATCTCCTGGGCAGAACAAATTGCCATTGTAAAGATGTTTATTTTACCACACATTTTTACTACTTCTTCCGGGCTATTCCTATACACCTACTAGCTTCATCTATACAAAAACTACAATCATTGCTGAATGACTACATTTGGGAACAAAAAAAAGCACGTATCAACAAACTAGCATTGTACTCTTCTTGATCTGATTTGGGTATGGGAGCACCAAACCTAAAATTATACTATAAAGCAATTGTGTTGGATCAGGCGCAACATCTAGCGACAAGATCATCCAACCATTATTCTGCACTCTGTTGGAGGAATTGCAATCAACTCGGATCTCTGTACCATATATGGTGGGAATGTCCACAAATCACCCAATTTTGGTTGGATATCTTCAACTTTATAACAACCATTACAGGATCATCTCAAACTCCTGATCCAGCCTTGGCACTTTTGGGCATTGGAATAGACTCCTGATCTCCGCAATCCAGAACTGTACTAATACATATTTTGATCACCGCAAGATTAAGCATTGGCAGGCTTTTGAAACAGCAACGACACAATCCATTCATAATATGATTAAAATCCTAAACACAAACATGCCTTTGAAAAAAAATTTGCCAAAATACACAATTCACTTGTTAAATTCCAGAAAAATTGTAACAAATGACACAAAGATCATCAATGTACTGTCGTGTAAAAACACATCAAGATGTACCACTCAAACACCACTAGTAACAAAGCCCTTGCATTTTTCTACTATAATTGTATTATCGTAATATTTTCGACTCAATTGCATTCTACATACTACTCTTTTCTACTCTTCAAACTTCTCTTCCTTTCCGCTTTAAATTACTGATCTTCTGAAAAAATTTCAAACAAATGATACATAACCATTAAACAACTGTTTTGATGATAGTAATGACTACTGAAAAACAAAACAATATTAACAATTTTCACTTGTTTGTAAGATGTTGAACATACTTACACTCTATTACCTGTACATTTTACAAATTTGTAATATACTATTACGACAACACTGTTTATTGATGTAAACATTCAAATGATCAATTAAAAAGTCAATAGTTAAAAAAAAAACATGTATTACAGCAATATAAAACCAAAAAATCCCTTTCTGTTACAGAAGACATGCACAATGAATGGCACCATTAAGGCTTGGAGGTGTATTTGCCTTCAATTTATAGATCCACAGACTCTCTTGCTGTAACAGCAGTTTAACCATATTGTCAATTTATATGGATTCTATCAAAAACGCTGAATTTAATCCTAGGTGTTTTATTGCTGTGCTTAAAAAGCACATGTCTAGCTATAAATAAACACAACTTACCATATTCTATGTAAAAAAAAAACGTAATTTCCCATTCTCACTTGAAATGTGCACTTAGTTTACATAGTAACTGTTGCATTCACAAACCAATATAGTGTTGCAATTCACAAAATGAAGGGCTGGTTGGTATTTACCACACTGGAGTATCCCTGCAAGTGCCTTTTTATTTACAACAACCCTTTCTTGTAAAGCGATGTCTATAAATTGAATTTTTAAAAAGGTGGCACATTTAAATGTAATCTGCACGATCACAGCCAGTGACAGTGGGTGTGTTAAAACCTGACGAATTTCATCATGTTGATGAGAAATCATAATAAATTGAGGAGAATCCTTATTAATCTGACTGCTTCTAGTTGATTGATTCCATCTAACTACTTTATTCTGTGAAACATATAAATATAGATTGTGAGCTCGAAAGAGCAGGGCCCTCAAACCCCTCGTGTATTGTACTGTTACTGTTTTGTCTCATGTTCTGTCCCCCTTGCTATTGTACAGCGCTGAGCAAACCCTTTGGCGCTATATAAATACTGTATAAAAAATAATAATAATATGCCTTATGTAAAATTCTTTCTTTGTAGCCTCTTGCTTTCTATACAGAATTTTTCTCTTTCCATCTTAAAGTCCTCATCCAATGTGCAATTGCAAGAGGTGCACAAGTATTGACCATATGGTATATGTCAGGAGACATTTCTGATGGCTACTGCCCTTGTACAGGATTTCATTTCTGGCAGTTGCTTTGTGGAACAGACAGTTTAATTTTCCATCTGCATTGCTCTCAACTGTGATATCGAGAAAGAAAATGAAGTCTGTATTTCAAGCCAAAGTACAGTTAAGATTCAATTGGTTATGGTTCAGCCGATCTACAGAAAATGAGAATCTGTCCAAAAGAAGGGTGTGTCATTGATGCTCCTATGCCATGCTGAAACAAATCATACCCCACCCCCCAAATACAGGTGTGCACATGATGGGGCAAAAGCAGGGGCGGACTGACAACTCATGGGGCCCCCGGCAATAGGGTATCATGGGGCCCCTGTGTCCTTGACCAAACTGAAAAAAGCCTATGAAAAAGGTACCAGGGGCATCTCATGGGGCCCCCTACTGACCCCGTGCCCTCGGGCAGTGCCTAAGTTTCCAAATGGTCAGTCTGCCCCTGGGCACAAGTGTTCCACATTGTCACATCCTGAACCTAGAGGTAGTGGTATGTGTAAGTCAAAATTATCATTAACTTCTATGGTCATATTGACCAATGTCCCATTAGTCTAAAAGCCTACATTCTGCCTTTATTATTTTTTCCTTTTTTTCTGTTTTCAGCCTGAATTTATTAAAGATTTTCATATTAATAAAATAAAGCATGTAAACAAAATAGTGAGCAAATAGATTACAAATCCAACCTATAACAACATTATTACAACAAGTAATGGTAAATCATATCACTTACCCTGTAGACAAAAATGACTGCATGTAAAAGTCAGAGAACAGAGCTGACCCCACATAGTAGCACATATGGATAAATTAGAAAGCCAATCAATGCAAGTCAGTTGAGGCTGAAAGAAGAAGAAAAGAAAAGGGGAAAAAAGTAGTAAAGAAAAATAGGAAAGAAAAAAATTTCTGAATGAGAAGACAGAGGGGGGTAAAAAAATGGTGATCGCTGACGTATCTCCGATGTGGGAGAGGCCGGTGTATAAACAACACAGATCTCTCCCCTGTCAGTTCCTGCACACTGCTTTGTATGGCTCTGCATAGCAGTCCCACCATAAGTCGCTAGAAAAAAAAACAAATTCCAGTATATATACTGACATTTGTAAACGCTAAAACTTTCAGGTATTGGGGTTTTTTTTTTAGCAAAGACATGTAGCAGAATACATTTTGGCCTAAATTTATGATGACATTTTTTTTTTTTTTTTACTGGACATGTTTAATAGCAAAAAGTAAAAAAAAAATTTCTCAAAATAATCGGTCTTTTTTTGTTTTTAGCGCAAAAAATTAAAAAATGCATAGGCAAAAGGCCATAAATGTAATTTGGGTGCAGAGTTGCATGACCATGCAATTGTCAGCTAAAGTAACGCAGCGCCGTATCGCAAACAGTGGTCTGGTCAGGAAGGGGGGTAAATCCTCTGCAGGGCAAGTGGTTCATTACTGTCTATAGCATCCTATCTTCTTGAATAGCAGGAGCAACTTTTTCCTTAAACACACAGTATACTCTGATTCATTTGACTGATTCATTCAACTACCCTATCCTGAATAAGAGCATCAATAAGTCTCTGCATATAATTACATAATTACAGGGATTACCTAAAAAGACTTCCAAAAAAAAAGTAATAATCCAAAGATTTCTTAGTAGCTGTAAGAATTAGTGATGGGCTGAACACACCCGTGTTTGGTTCGCGGGCGAACGAACTCAAACAAGTCTATGGGTCTCGAACTTGT